TCCCGCGCCCGGAACGCTTCCGCGGCCGCCTCTGTGTGGCCAGAGCATTAAGGCCCATTTAGATGGAGAGAGTTTCTCGTCTCGAAGATGCGGTTATCGAAAGAATATAAAAAAACTTTCCTCGTCTAAACATTCGCGATTATCGACCGTCCACGTGCCACGACAGGCAAGAACTAAAATCTCGCCTACGATTATGTCATACGAGATTCGCAAGCAACTTAATCGCCTCCTCGACTGTTTACACGGAGAAATATGTAGTAAGGAGATTCTTGCTTACGAGTTTTCGACTTGTCTAAACACGATCTCGTATGACATTTTTTCAAGTTCATACGATTATCGTACAAATCGGTTCGAACCGTTTTGAGTGCGAGAATTGCCATTCGAGTTCTGTGATTACTGCGGTATGACTATGGATATATCAAAATGATGCAAAAACCATTCAAATTTGAAACTGCTGATAATATTAAGTTCATTGCACTGTATAGAAATATAATTTTCATTTATCATTTTTTTTTAATTTTATAACTACTGACACAAACAAAAACTGACAATTATGATAAATTTATAGGGCGAGTGAGTGCGTGAGTGACTGAGTGAGTGCGTGCGTGCGTGCGTGCGTGCGTGCGTGCGTGAGTGAGTGAGTGAGTGAGTGGTGAGTGAGTGAGTGAGTGAGTGAGTGAGTGAGTGAATGGTGAGTGAGTGAGTGATGAGCGAGTGCGTGAGTGAGTGAGTGAGAGTGAGTGAGTGAGTGAGTAGGGAGTGAGTGGGGAGTGAGTGGCGAGTGAGTGAGGAGTGTTTATTGAAAAGTACATTTACTTGAAAAGTCGTGTCGGCCATCTTGGATTTACAAATAAATGTTATGTTCGTAGTGAGCACCCCCAAATACCTCAAAAACGATACCTAACTTGCCATTATTTGAAAAGTCGTGCCCGCCATCCTGGATTTAGAAAGGAGTGCAATATTCGTTACGAGAGCACCCTAAATACTATATTGCCCACGCTATATTCGACCACAGAGGCACTCACTCACTCACCGTTATTTGAAATTTTTTTTTTCGCTCTTGTTCCATTAATTCTTGTCTTAGAAAAGCAGTGATAATCAAAACACCCTCGCGCGCTGCACTCGTGGTAGAAACGGCTGGCACAGAAACTCGAAATACGATTTTTGCTTTCGAGTTCTGTTTACACGGAGACGTTCAATATTGAAAGGCGAGGAGATTATCGCTCACGTGGACGGTCGATAATCGCAAATGTTTAGACGAGGAAAGTTTTTTTATATTCTTTCGATAATCGTATCTTCGAGACGAGAAACTCTCTCCATCTAAATGGGCCTTTAACATTATGATACGATAATCTTATGGCGATTATTGCTTACGATAATCGCCTACGAGTTTTCGTCTCGAAGCGTGCGAGAAACTCTCCCCATCTAAATGGGCCTTTACCCTGGAAAAAAATAAAAGGTTATATCACACATAATCAGTCATGCTACGGCCACAGATCTAAAAAGTGTCAGATAGTATAACAAAAATGTAAAATTTTATTTGTGGTAAATTTATCATGTTTTGTAAAAAGTCCCACCTTCGTTTATGACGTTCTGACAGGTTGTTAGTACTTTACAAATAAGTTATAAATATTGTTTTGCTGTTTTGTTTTACATTCTCAACTGAGTACTCCCGTAGTCCAACTTACCAACACCGGTTAATGTCCTATTAGAGCTTAGCGAAAATTTTTTTTTTGTTTCGTTTTTTTTTCTTTCAACTGTGACATTGGCAAAATCATCAGTTCTCATATTGATGGAGCCATAAAAATAAAAAGTGAAGTGAACCCTGTATACTTTATATTACTACCACTACTAATTGATTAAACATTACGTAATACATGAATTGCATATTACCCGTAAGTTAATTTATAACAGCGGCGGCAGCGCAGTTTTCAATTCTATTTAACAATGTATCTTTATGTCTTTTCTTATTCTGTTGGTATACATACTTATATTCATAGACTATCTTATACTTTATAAGCGATATAGGTATATATTCAGACGATTCAAAATAAGCATTATGTTGGTAGGTGGTAGAGTTAGATTACATTTTGGCCTGTCTTTAGGGACCTATATACTTACCAGATATTTCGTTTGTGGGAAGTCTTTAATGGCCCGTGAAATCGATTTTATGATGTTTACTCTGATCAGAGAATATCATTAAAATGACTTTTATGACGCTATAACTTTGCATTGGATAGCAAATTGGTAATCGTATCGATTGTCATACTGTAAATATGTTGCGGAGAGTTTGAAAAATTATGTTAATATTGTGTTATAAATACGTAATGTTTTGTGGATAAGGACTCTATTACACACCTACCATATTAATCTACATAAATAATTGTACACTTATATTTACTTCCTAATATCCCGCGTACATCAAAAAGTACATAATATGTGAAGTGCTTCAGACCTAGGCAATATTATTTCTATGTTCATGTAAACGTGCAGTGTACATTACAAATATCACATTCAAATTTAACTATTGTAACTACGACCAATCAGATACCGAGTCATGATCCTTTTTCACATGTCTTTTGATGCTTTTTTGTTTTAACTATATGTATACACGTTGAGTTTATATTTTCTTTGTTTTCTATTATTGCTTTTTTTTTGTATTTATGAAGTGTAATTTTGGATTTATGTGATTTTTCCTAATTGTATCCAATTTATTTTGCATGCACATGTTAAATAAAAATATTTTATTTATTTGTCTAGAAAAATGAGTTTTTCACATAAAACAAAGGGCATACCTACTTGCTTGGGCGTGAAGCAATGTAATTAATTATATTTCGTACATGTTAACGTAATACGGCGTTTAGCGATTTGCCTATTGCAGTTTCTTGGGTCTTCGAAGGTTAATTAGGTGTACTATATGCTCTATCGTGCTTACTTAAAGGAGACAAATATATTAAAATATTTACATATCAATTAAAAAATTATAGCACACACGTTTAACTATGATAATTGCTTAAAATCCAGGAATAGTAAATGAAAAACAAACCAACGTTTCGGGCCCTTTATTGGTCCCATGGTCACCAGTGACTGAGATGGTAAAGTCATCAACCAATTATGTCTAATATTAATGCAAACCACCATTTTTTATTGTAAAATACGTGTTGGCCTTAAAGGATGGAAAAAATAAGAAAGCTATGGCTGACACCTCGTTCATTCGTCATTAAATTGGATACTGGCAAAATTATTCCTAGTCTGGGGTCTTAGAGGATGGAAAAAAATAAAAGAAAGGAGCTGCCCTAAGTACAGAATCAACGTGCATATTACCAAAATTTGAAACTTACAAATGGCGGATTTCTTTAGTGTTGTACCATAATCTATCGATAAGTCATTATCGACATGCAAATGTATGGCTTGAATTTTTGTTTCTTTAGTTTACTGTAACCAAAGTATGCCTAAACAAACACAAGTCTGATAATTTAATCTCGAGTGGTAAATTATTATAAATGTCAACACACATTATTAAACTTCAAAAAAAAATTTATTTTCAACATTACAACTGGTAACTTATTTAGTAAAAGTCACCAAACTGCTGTGCAGTTTGTTGGCGACATGCGCATTCTTGCTTAATTATACCTACTTTACTTGTATTTAACATTACGTAGTATTAATTGTACTTACTAAATAAAATATAAAAATTACTTTAAGAGGTACGCCTTTAACCTACATTTTAGTACATATTTACATAACGTAAACCAATAAACCTAAATAAATAAACGTAATACCAATAAACCTAATGATGGAATAGCATTGTCATGTAATCTAGTTACATTTAAAGTTCTGTTAAAATTTGACTCTTCAAAATGAAGCGAACAAATGAAGATGGTCTTTGATCCAACGTTTATATTCGGCAGTCCTATGATTTCCAACCATTCTTTCTTCCTTTTTTCATTTGTAGGAAAACTTGAAATAATAATAATAAAACAATAAAAACCTCATAGTGAATTGTTTTAATAACAGAATATCGATAATATGTATGCTTACAAGATCAACACTATCTCAAAATAATCGTTAACAACAATCATCAAAATATACAAACAAACAGGCAATCTAAAGTAACAAAAGCAAAATTTGGCAAGATTTATAAATAAACTACTTAAATAAGTCTAATTACATAAAATATTCGGGCTATTGTGTGATTTATAGACAAAAAAATAACACATGCCTGTGCAATGTAACATTCGATTGATTTGCAGTTTTTCTAAAGCCGCATCCTTTAATGCTGCAGCGTCGCATTTTTATTAATACCTAATTATTCTCACTGTCAATATTTTTGTCCAATTTAATTATAATACATGTGAATAATTCAATAATACATTTGGAAAAACATTTGTTTTGACATTTGATGTACTTCCCTTTGACAACGGTATCATGTACCTCATGTACTTGAAATGGCCACGGTTGGCATTTAAAATGACGTTACGAATTTTCGATTCCCGTGTTTGACACAGACCAATGTAATGCTATCTCTTTTGGCTTAAGACGGCACGTAATAGTTAAACAAAGACAATAATATGTTTATGTTTTCGACGACGAAATGCATCATATACATATAACGTCTGATTTATATATGTCAACGTAACATGTCCTTTAGTTTCCATAGTCTAAGTCTGGGGTAGATAAAAGTGCCAGAAGTAGAAAACGTAACGTTATGTCAAAGTGACAGTGACATCTTGGTCTTGACAATACAATTTTTTAGGTTGTGTTATGGTTATGTTGTTCTTTTTTATTGGTTTGTGAAATACGGTTAAAGGTTTATAAAACTATATATTTGTAAACGTTTCTATATTTTAAACTAAGTGTAAATATAAATGGAAGAATCTAGTAAAGATAAACGACCACGGTTCGGTAACCGATACTTGGAAAATGCTGACGAAGTCTTCAAGCATAATGCGTGGTACCGTATATACTATTTTCGTTAGATATTGTAAGAAACCCAATCGATTTGAAAGAAATTTAGAAGAATTAGAGAAAACGAGATACAGAAAAAAGCCACCGGGAGGTTCTCGATATTTAACGGATGAGAACAATGTTTTTCTTTTCAATGCATGGTACTGAACTTTTCAAGATTCTGTAACGCAGGGTTTCTTAACCTGTGTGCCACAAGGGGTCCATGTAATGAACGCCGGGAGTCCGTGGCGAGCCTACCGAACATAATGGAACAGCAACCGTCACACTAACTATTCACATGTAGTTAAGTAAAATTTAATCGCAAACAATAATTATAAGCTAGGAAAAGTTGAGCCTAGTTTTTTTATGTTTTCGGAAAGGGCCCGTGGGCACTTTTACACTTTGCGAAGTGTCCATGACTAGAAAAAGGTTAAAAAACCCTGCCTTAGCATATAAATAAAGTGCATTGTAAAGTGCAAGGTTAAACTGAGACACTGATTTTTGGTATGGCAATCATTTCTTTTTACTAAACATTGAGATGAGTCTTCTTCCCTCCTTCTGTACTGTCCTTATCCCATGCTAGGTGGGGTTTGCACAACATGTATTTTTCTTCCATTCTCCCCTGTCAGCTGTCATTTTTATATTCACACCTTTCTTATCCATGTCATCTTACACACAATCCATCCATCTTTTCTTTGGCCTTCCTATCCCCTTATATCCCTCCACATTCATACCTAGTACTCTTCTTGTCACATGACATTCTTCCCTCCGCATGGCATGTCTATTATACCACGCTAACCTATTACTCCTCTTCTTATCCATCATTGGCGCTACTTTCAAACTTCCCCTGATGTACTCATTCCTTATCTTATCTTTTCTTGTCACTCCACACATCCATCTAAATATTGAGATGATTATTGATTCTAAATGGTGTATATTTGTTCTTCAAACCTGTGAATAATTAACAATACATAGTCGCACGGATGTAAAAGTGTCTTTTCCAACCACGACATATGCAAAATCCTTGTGTAAAATGATGGAGCCATTACAAAGAAATGGAATTGGAAACCTGTAAAAGGCCTACAATATTAGTTCATTCAAATAAACAAATATAAGTACATGATTTAGATCCAAAAATATAGTTTAATCTCTATTTAGGTGATTCTTATTCTTTCTTGGATCACTCAGAAGGCTTCAGGGCCCAACCTGGCCACCCCTTACTGCGCCTATCATATTACTATTATAGTTTTATATACTGACAACACAAACACATATTGTGTTCTTAGGTATTTGCATTGGCAATAAAAAAATTTTTTTGATGTTGGATGGAGTTCGAGAGTAGACCTCCAGGTTTGGATAATCAGATTTCAATAATCAATTATACTATAACTTGCTTGCTTTTATGGTACCTACTTTGTTTATCTGTGTACAAATCTTTTTTTGAATAAAGAAATGATTAATAGTATTAAATAACTAATTCATCTCAAAAACGAATACTTATTAACTCAACTATCTCAGGGACCAAAAGTAACTTATCAACTTTTACTGATGCCTGCTGTATTAATGTATAAAAAACATATTTCAGGGATAATGTACAGTGGGATGACCAGCAGGAAAAAATCGCAAGAGAAAAGGTGATGCAGAATTCCGAAGTAATATTTTCTGAGGAATGTTTAAAAGACTTGGAAGACAATGCGGACAAACACTGGGATGCGTTTTATAATATTCATCAGAACAGGTGAGAAATGTATTTTTTTTTTATAAAATTTTAGATTCATATTTGCAATCGAAGTTATTTAATGTTCCAGGTTCTTTAAAGACCGTCATTGGCTCTTTACTGAATTTCCTGAACTGGCTCCAGACAACACATCAGCACCAGTGAGAGTATATCCAGACAACAAAAGTACACCTCCTGAAAATGAGCTAATAGTAACACAAAATAATACTAAACGCTACATATTTGAAATAGGATGTGGTGTTGGCAACACTATATTCCCCATCCTACAGTATAGTACAGATCCAAACCTATTTCTCTATGGATGTGACTTCTCATCAAAAGCTATTGAGATCATGAAACAGAATGAGCTGTATGACACAAATAGGTGTAATGTTTTTGTATTAGATGCAACAGCTACTGAATGGAATGTTCCATTTGCTGAAAATTCTGTAGATATCATAGTATTGATATTTGTGCTATCTGCTATTGATCCTACCAAGTACGTGTACACTTTTACCATAGTATATAAGACAAATTGTTTAATACGGACGCACTCATGAAACAGTAGACATATTGATTATTGTGCTTCTGGTTGTTTGAACATAAGTGCCTCTAATTCATAATTGTTCAGCATTTAATTTCTATTTCATAATCTTACTCCCATCACTGAGATATCAATCCGCAATTTATATCAGCTTATAAAAATATCAATATGTACTGCATTTGACGACGATTATTCCAATACAGCACGATAATACCGTAATGAACACCTTAATTTTTTCAAATTATGTTTGCAACCTGTAGTCATTAAAATTTTAATATGACAACCCTACGCTCCGAGCGACGTGTAGGCATTGACGCGCCGAACAGACGTGAGTTGCTAACTACTACTTATTTTATTATATACTATACTATACCTATGATTGGCCACGGGAATTTTTGTAATGTTCGAGTTCTTATGAAACCTGCCTAAAAAACCCTGCCACATTGAAATCGGCAGCGGGGCGATCGCGATCCGGGGCCGAACGCTATGACAAACGGGCCGGGCGCGTGGCGAACGCGGGACGGGTCCGGGCGCGGGAATTGTATTCCATTGTGGTCTATGCAACCGTCCATACAGAGCGGCAACGGCGCACAGTGTGCCCAAATTGATAATTCTTGGACATACGAATAAGTTGTGGAGTATCTATATATGGAGTAATAGTATAGAAATATACATTTCATTTTTTATCTCTTAATGTAGAAAAATGTAATGTGTGTAAAGAAAAAATAGTCCATCTGCAGGTACTTGCGGCTTTACGAGTAAAAAGGTGTCAAAATTTTAGATTTGTTATTTATTTTTTAACACAATATACTAGTTTCTACTTAACTTTCGTGTTATTGTTATAACACTCTCTAAATTACACTAAAATGAATTTTTCTTTAGTCGAAGCTAACGTATTTTGTTAAAAAAGCACACAAAAGAGTTAGCAATTTTGCCGCACCTTTACTTATAAAGCCGCGGGTACATGCAGACGGATTATTTTTTTCTATATCGAAAATGATTGGAACTATACTGTAAGTAATCCACGCACATTGCATTTCGTATATCTTGAGGTAAAAAATAAAATGTATGTTTCTCCATACAAAGAATAATTTTTTTTTTCTCTGAAGCTATCAACTTTTCAACAAATTATGCAAGAATAAAAGTTATTAGGAATGTTATTATCTATCAAATAAAATAAAGTTAGCTCGGTACTCCACAAGTTATTCCTATGTCCAAGAAATATCAATTTGGGCCCACTGTGCGGCGGGGCCCGGTCCGTGAGCGGGAGCAGGCTTGGACGTTGTATTTTTTTTACAACTCTTGAGTGTGTTTATATTAGGTTTCAATATGAATTCGACCGAAATTTCTTATATGTTGCTTTCGTAACAAATAAAAGCAGAAAATTTTCTTGATCTTTATCCAACAGCGATGTGGTGCTTTCTTTAAAGTCTCTATAGAAAATGAAACATGGTTGCTTTTGGTGTTACACTGGCCGCTTTCGCGCCGCTATTCCGCCGCGAACTACGTTTGAATCTGCTGTGTACTACCCAGATTTCCATTTCATTTCATTTATTTTACACTTCACATGGTGTTACAAATAAAACTTACAATTAAATTTGGTACATGCATGTGATACCCTGTTAGGGCGTAGCAAAAACTTTAACACAGTTTGCTAATAAAGTTAATTGCTTATATTGTTGTTTTTGCAATTACAGTTACACATTACTTTTACATTACATTTATGTCTTAAAATAAATTATAATTTGCTCATTAACTAGGTACATACATAAATTTACATTTCAAAATTGTTATAATTTTTAAAAACATTAGAATTGAAAATGTCAACAAGTTAAATACAGAATTTAAAATACAAATTAGAATATCACAAAACTATCAATGTCAAAATAAAAAAATCTCTATGTTGCAAATATAATGTGTTCAAAATCTATCACCCAAGTATTCGTTAACTGTGTAGTATGCCTTCTTAACTAGTAGCTCTTTCAGTTTGCTATTAAAATCTACAGCTTTAACAGTGTCTATTAATTGGTCTGGTAATTTATTATATACCTTTACGGCCATTGCTAATGCACTTGATGAGTGCAGTTTGAGTCTGGAAGTAGGTATTACTAATTTATTTTTATTTCGTAAAGCATATTTCGGGTTGTTATCTATTCTCTTACTAAAAAGATCTGGATGATTCCTAACAAATTTACAAATTTCCAAGATGTATATACAAGGCAAGGTGAGTATTTTATGTTTTTTAAAGTGAGGCTTGCAGGAGTCTTGACTCTTAATGTTAACTAATATTCTTATTACTTTTTTCTGCACAGTAAGTAGGCTGGGAGCATTTGTACTGTTTCCCCACATTATAATACCATAGCTGAGCTACGCATATGCATAAGCATAATACGTTACTAGAGCCGTTTCAAAGTCAGTGGTCTTCTTTATTTGAAGAAAAGCATAAATGAATTTTGATAGTCTTGATTTAATTTTTTGTACGTGCGGTTTCCAATTCGATTCGTCTCTGGAAAGCTTTTCCCGCTGTACCGCCTCTGTGTGGCCTGAACTTTACTATCTGATGATAAAAATAGATTAAAGACTACATTAAGCACACACAGTATTCTCTAAAGTTTTTTACTTTATTCTAGAATGCCGGTAGTCATCAACAACATCTACAAACACCTAAAACCTGGAGGTCTGGTTGTATTCCGTGACTATGGGAAATATGATTTGGCTCAACTGAGATTCAAGAAGGGTCGCTGCATTTCTGATAACTTCTATGCAAGAGGGGATAACACTATGGTTTACTTTTTTACTCAGGAAGAAATCGCGACACTTTTTAAAGATGCAGGTTTTAATGAAGAACAGAATTTAATTGATAGAAGATTGCAAGTGAATCGAGGAAAGATGTTGACCATGTATAGAGTTTGGATACAAGGGAAATACAGAAAACCTTTATAACAACTATTTATTAGAATAAAGATTTATGTCTATTAAGGTATGTAGCTTATTTTTAAAAATCAGCACTTACCAATATTATGTTTATGTCTTTAATGGGAACTTTACGCCCGCCTCCCGTTTGACTCGTAACGGTAAACTTCAATTGAAGCGCTTCCACCGCTAACGAGTGAGCGAAGCAGACTCGGCGGCTTAAGATGGCTCCGCTATGTCATTGAGTCGCGTGGTAGTTTTGAACTGACAGTAAGGGCGCGTTAACTCGACACGAATTAACTATTATGTAATATAACTGTTATGGCAAAATACGCTCTATTTTTTTTTATTGCATTCAGGTAACAAAGACCCATAAATACGTACCTTATAGACTAACACGCAAAATAATACTATAAAAACACTACTGACTAATTATTATTTACACGTATTGTCTGCGACGTGTGACGCAACGTGGGTGTCCGATAGCCGGCCTCGGAAACGTCGATACATGACCCCCTTCGGCCAAAACTCATCTTTCATGAAGGTCGACAGATGTTGAGTTGATACTCTCATCACAAATGAATTAAAATTTACATAGTGGCGGGACACCAACTGCTCGACCCTCAGAGTAGCATTGGCTTTCACCCGTATATACTCCACAATATCGGCAGACTTTGTGGAGTAATAAAGCCGTGACACGTATAACAACGTCGTCGCTATCGCTGGACGCAGTAAATGTTTAGGGCCAGACGGGGCGGTGCTACTACGGTTACGGCTGGTGTACTTCTTCCTTTCCACCTTTTTGAAACCGTCCTCGTCGCACTGTTCAACTCTTCTCGGTGGTACTGATGATACATCTCCAGAGATGACCATCCGTTTCATTTTCTTCCCCTTTGTTGGTAACTGCTTGGGTTGTGGTTGTGGAGCACTGGATCGGTTAGCAGCGGCAACAGCAGCGTGGTCACGTTGAGGGGTCAACATGCTTACGCGTGACCTCTCCGCCGGGGCGGGGAGCGGGGAAACGCACGTGGTGACAGTGGTCGGTGACGTATGGGCCGACTCAAAATGCCGGTAGATGCGTTTTGCGCCCCGCGACAAGTATTTACGTTACAGGCCACGGGTGACCTACTTACCGAAGCCACACTATTCAGTAACGCAACTTGGGCATGCAACTCACTGATGGTATTGTCCGAGACCTCCAATTGAATAACAGTGGACTTCAGCAAGGCTCGCGTTTAGGGACGTGATGTCCTTCAGCAGCCTGGTGACGGCGACGTGGTCGAACGTGACAGGGGGCAGCTTGTGCAGTTCCTTCGCCACGAAAGCAGGCACGTTTTCTGAGTCGGTCTCCTTTAACAACGTGATGATGTCCTGGAGACTCTTCGCTCCTCCATCCCTCCGGCGAAGTGGCATCTTCTCAGCCTTGCTAAGCATGCGGAAAAGCAGCGCCTTGCCACTGCAAATCTCCTCTTCCTTGAAATTTGATTTTCAGAGCTGCACGATGCTGATCTCGTCCATAGTGTCGACGGCGTCTTGGATGAACGCAGTTCATTGGCTATGAGTCGCTGGGAACCCATAGTCATTTACGCGCAGCGGCCATTGCCGCGCGGGTCGCGAATTATTATAATTCTTACTGTATAGTGGAGCACGTCCGAATCCGACCGTGCACCGCACCGCACTCTGATTTTAGCTTGAATTTAGCTTTTACGGTTTATGTTCGTGGCTGCTTGTCTTTGGTCTACGCGGCGGCCGAGCGGCGTCCGCGCTGCGTCGGCGCGGCTTCCGCGTGGTTGTATTACTCCAAGGAATTGAAATGTTTAAAAAAATTTAAACATTATTAATTATTGAATTGACATTCAATTATTTTTTATGTGATATTACTCCACTAGTTTGTTATAATTATTAATGCAAAGATCGAGCACTCAGAAAAAAATCCTTCGATCCGGCCGGATCCGAATTTAAATTTAAAACATTTAAATTCGGATCCGGTACGTACGTGTGTACGTACGTGACAGCGTGGTAACCAGGCGGTCGTCCGTGACTGTCAAAACTTACGCGTCTTGTAACTGGGCGCTTTACGTCATCGTGCGCTTGGGTGTAAGCCGCGTGAAATTTGTGCTCGCCACCACGATATATTTACGTTTAACATAGTGATTACAAATATAAGCTAATCTTACTGCTCATTGTTTATAAGAAATACAACAGTCATGTTTTGAGTCATTAGTTTTATGCTTATTTTTATATTCAAGTTTAGGTGAAACACTACCTACAATACTTGTCGGACAGTTCTCTACCTTAGTAGGTGCCGGAAGCGATAGTTGTCTTAAAGAACTACAAACTTAAGCCCAAAAACATTTCGTACCTCTCATGGAATTATAGTATAACGTCGCCTTAGAGTGAAAACCTCGCATATGTTTTCAAATTTTCAAATAGTTCGTTTTTATTGATTTTTGTTGGAAAAACGAAAAAACTTACAAACTGCTTGTTCAAATATATTATTAAAGTAATATAGTATCTGAAAGAGGTATAATTTAACTAATTTAAATGCTAACTACAAACATTGCGTTTACTACATTTTACACCACATATTTTGTTGGTCCTGAATAATTACATAGGATGTATTACTCTAAGACGACGATAAGTGAAAATACATCAAAAATGTTTATTGCTCCATTAGACACAGAAAATTGATGAAATGAATGCTAAGATTTGATTACTACCAATAATTACCTATCGATAATGTTACTAAAGTTGAATATTTGTCATTTTTATTATTACTAGTTTTGAAAATAAATATCTACTCACCTATCAAGTGGTATGTAATTTTCAGGTTACTACCTTAAGTCGAATATTAAATATTACTTCGTGATAATATTCTAGAATACTTAAATATTAAAAATTGCCACCGATATTTAGTAAAGAAAACTAACCTAAAAATTACCCAGTCTTGATGTTATGGCGCGATAAATGCTCTAAGGTTCTGTTTAAGGGTTAAAGATATATAAAAATAATGTTGCCATTTTATAAATATTTGAAAATACCCTTTTTATTTCTAAAACTGAACACAACTACTTAATCGGTTCAAACTTAAAATAATATGGTTTCTTAAAAGTATTCAAGATTCTGGTAACAATTTTTATTGGTGGCCCTTCCCAACTGACTTTGAGTTCACTAATCATTCTTTCTACAAATATTTCAATCTCTAATTCTGCTAAACGTCGTCCGATACAGCTTCTAATACCAAATCCAAATGGTTGCATGACCATAGGATGTGTGTTCCCATAATACAAAGGATCATTTTTATCTGCTAACCATCGTTCCGGTATAAATTCAGATGCTTTAGGATAATACTTATCCAACATTGATAAGTAGTCATTTGCTGCAACAATATCAACCTGCAAAATGATAACACAAATATTTATTAAAAACTTAGAATCCTAAATTGTGTTATAACCAGTAAAGAAGAAGAAGAAAAAGATACAATACATGAAACCAAATACCTACTGTAGTAGTAACTCAAAATTGTAGAATTGAGAAAACACGATTTGAAAGTAAAAAAAATACTGAATGAAATCAATAAATTTATATACTCGTTTATAAATGGACAACTATAAGTGTTAAGTATAAATAAAAATAATAACATTCGCAATAAGATCCATTCAGTATTTTTTAACTTTTATATAATATATGTGATGAGTGATATGTCAACTTGCTACAGTGCTTTGTAGCAAATAGTCTTAAATTCTAAATTTGAGATACGTTACCACTAAAGCTATTGATGGTTTTGTTGTTAACAGTGCATAAGTATAGCTTACCCCTTTAGGAATTACATATCCACCCACAAAGTGTTCTCTCGTAGTCCTTCTTAAATTACCAGATACAACAGTATTCATTCTTAAGCTTTCTTTGAGACAAGCTTTCAGGTATCTTCTGTTTGTGTTATGCGACTGGATTTCTTCTCGCAACTTGTCCTGCACTTTTGGATTTAGAGCCAATCTGTAAAGGAGTGCAGTTGTTGCAAAGGCTACCTGCAAAATTTAATATCTTATTTGTTTGTAAATTGCACGTATTTAAGCAAAAAAGATTCAATCCACAAAATTATCAAAAAATGTGTTATATGTATTAAATGGTTCCTAAAGTCTATAATCTCTTAGATCAGCAAAAAAATCCAACTTATAATCATAAATAAATATCTCTGGAGTTACATGACATTAAAAGTTTTGAAAATAAAACAACAGTGAGAAACACTTTTCAACTTCAAATTGCCATATCTCGAAAGTGACTGGATGTGCATTGGAGCCTTTTCGTTTAAATACATTTCGATACCTCCAATGAAAACTACGCCAACTTAATTTTTGGACCTATTCTGTTTTTATTGTTTTTTGTTTCTTTATATGTTTTCACAAAACTTGTTTTTATTGCTTTATTTTTAATTTTGTTTTTGTTTCTTGTTTTTTCACAAAGAGTTGGATCGGCGGTGTACAATTTCTCACTAAACTGTGGATACTGGAACTACGTGTTACACAGGGGATTTCCTACTTTGAGATCAATGTTTTTGATTCGCGCTCACCACGCGCGGCCGTCGCGTTGAGCGCGATGAAATTCGTATCGAATAAATACGAATAAATATTAGAGGTGATATACTTTCTTTAAATTTAAATGGGTCCAATACTGAGGTACCCTCCTTCAAATAAAAGAAAGAATCGCATAACATACATACAAAAAAATACAGTGGAATTTAGTACCATACCCTTTTTTGAAGTCGGTTAAAAATAATTAAAGAACCCCAACTTTCATTTTTTTGAAAAAACAAAGACACGCGATGACTGAAAAAATAGTTTCATATCATATCTAACGTGTAACAATCGCCCGAACTTAAGTGTAAGAATCGAGTTACCGTATCGATCCCAGCCATGAGCATTTCATTGGCCATCACAACGGCCACTTTCTCATCAATAGCTAGCAGTTTCTCAATCACGCTTTTATCCTCCTCTGGAATATCATGACCTCTTTCTTTGATACGTTGCTTTGCTTGCGCAATAAACATTGCACTTATACTGTAAAAAGACCAAGTATAATAATACCGCGCCACCTTGCAAGACTTATGTCTTACAAGTCACCTTTATGAAAACTAGAAAAATGGGACTCAGGATAACTTATATCGATCAGATAAAAGGGTACAAGAAGTGAAAATAAACTGTACAGGCATTGAGCTATGGGTACCTAAAGGAGACAAATATGAGAAACACTGACAAGGTAGTTGGTCGAAAAAATTATTATAAGCTAACGAACTTCTTTGTTAACTTGTCAAACATATTAGTTAATAATAATATTTTTAAACTATTCTTTTTACATACTTCAACTCTGATTTTAAAAATTACTTACTCCCATTGTGTATCAAATAATTTCATCACTCTATTAAACATACGAGTATTGTATTTTTGCAAAAAATTTGGCATCAATTCATATTTAAAACTTAAGTCCACACTATCGGTAACGCATTTTATTAACTGTGCTGCCGGATGATCCCCTGGCAAATTATCTTTCAAGCAACCAAGTCTCGTCCCGAGACATACCAAGGCAATGGATTCTAAAGAAAATTTTGTCATCTCAGAGTCGAAATTGTTTTGCAGATAATTATTGACGTCTTTTAATTTTATTATTCTGAAAATAACATGTGATTACTTAATTATTAATTCACTTATGCCCAGCGTCCATTGACGGTACGGCATCGCAAAGGATCCTTCGGCATTTCTACATGCAAGTGCACACTGACAGCAATTATGCTGCGTATTGCCGAAGCATACCATTGCGACTTCGTGCTCGCGTCTAGTCTCTCTTCAAATCAGTCGTAAAGTTGCAATAAGGATTATTACCAGTTGTATGTTTGAAAAATGGTTGCTTTGCTGAAAAAGAAGAATACTATATTCCGAGAAGAATATTTTGAGTGAATAACTTTCAGTTGCATGCCGAAGCATACCGAAGGCTGCCGAGGCATTCCGAAAGCCGTTAGCTCTTACCACAGCTTTCTTTTTGTAGTTACAACCATTATAATTGAAATTTCAACGGAAATTTTAAAGGAATTTTTAGCACAATAGCAAATTGCTATTATCCTATTGCTATTAGCAATAGGTACACCTATTAAGGTATATTGCTATTCGTCACCTAAAAATTCCTTGCCGTGCCGTTGCTTCAGTGGGCGACGGGCCTTAAGGAGTTTAATGATTCTGTCGAGCTAAAAAAATATTGCTTGCAACTCCGTAGTGTACGATTTACAACGGCATAACCCAATAAACAGCTGAGATCAAATATAGATTCTTTAGTTTGTAACGCCTATCATTTAGCTGTAATTTCTTAATATAGGTACTTGGAGAGGAACATCTCTATTACTTTGCCACCATTTCTCGTGCAATTTCATCCAGTCCTGGCGCATATAATTTGACAAGTTTAGGCTTTAACAAAGCTGGATTCACTTTTGTGCGAAAATCACGCCATTCTGGGCCTTGTCTGCAATAGAACAATTGGTACAATGAAACTACAACTGGAGATGATTTGTTATTCTATAGGTGCCTAATTTCAACACTTATACGTACGCAGAAAGTAATCCGTAGACACCCTCAAATGTCTCTTTTCGTAATACTTCTCTGTAATGGGTAATAGTTCCAAGTCCATACCGCAACGGCATTATCTCTTCAGCTCTGAATATCTGAATTAGAAAAGTTAATTTCAGGTTAACACATAAAAACACTTTTAGTCATAAGCACACAAACAAGAGACAACTTAGTTTTAAACCCACGTTCGTAGAATTTTCTTGTTACTCGTTTATGTAGTAGGTAGAGCTTATCTTTTTGAGTCAGTTTAGTAGTGCGGCTTTTAGAAGTCTCTGTCCAACGCGAGTAGGATGTAGAAAAGATGTAAGGGATTCTGGGCTGTTATTTAAATTAAACTTTACCATGTTGGCATACTGTTGAAAATTCAATACTTTTTTTGCAAGTTACGACATTTTGTTTATTTTTTTTTCTTTTCTGGTTTCGACTTTATGTTGAGAATATACTCAATGTGCTGCTATCTAGCGGTAAATAGATGAAAGCCGAGTAACGATCACGTCTAGAAGTAACATGGAAGGTTTGAAATGTTTATATATTTCTCACACATTATTTTTTACTCACTGCACACAATATTTATTACATCTTCATGTACATATGTATAATATCTATTAATAAAGTAATTAAATTAGTTTACACTTATGCTGTTTAATTGACCACCATGATACTCAATTATTTTTAATCTATACGCATATCATAAACTCTATAATGTGTTCAAAAACTGCAAATTGCGACCCGCTTAGGCTCAACTCACACTGGCGCAGAGTCAAAGCGTCGCGCTGCGTCCTGTTTTTCAACTCCACCGCCAGGCGATGCGCGACGACGACGCTCGCATTAGTGCGCCGGGATCACAGATTGGTCGGCGTCTGACGCCTCACGTTGCCCAAGTTACGCGCGAGACGCGCGTAGCCGCTCGCATGCTACCAAGCGTCGACGCTTCTATTTCCGATTTCCATAACATAACCCACACAGCCCACAGCGCGAAGGCGGTGATTGGAACATTATTTTTTAATTTTAGATGTTTTTATGAAATTTCGTAAGCTTGTATAATTAATTATAGCGAAAGGTAAAAGTAATTAATGAGATATTTTTTTCTTGTTTCTTAAAGGACAGACAGACAGGGTTAATTGTGAATTTGTTTTTTAGGGTAATAGGTGAAAAACCCCTCCAAAGGAATTGCATAAGGTTTTTCCAAAAAAAAGAGAACTTACTAAACCAAAATTAAGCCACATTTAGGACCTTGTTTGCCTGTGAAAACACAAATATTATACATGTAAATGTAACACCTACCGGAATTTTCACGCCTACATCAGTGGAACTCAAGAGCCTTGTATCTACTGAGATTGTTTGTAAAGGCAGAAAATGTTTAACAAAGGTTATTTTAATATTTGATTTTTGTGTTTTCGCTATCACGATATGGATATTTGTTATGTGAAACTACTCCACTAGTTTGTGATTATTATTGATATAAATACCGAATAAACACAAAGAAAAATTCCTTCGATCCGGCTGGAACCAGCGTCTATTTCGCCAGCCCGGAACTATTATTATATAATACGTTCAGACCGACGACGTGTACCACCGGTGGAGCATGGACTGCAGGTCCATTAGGCGTTGTGTACCACCGGTAGTGTGCCACTTGACTTCCCACGTCGTCTTGAGAGAAAGCTCTAAATTTAATGTTCCCGCTTTGCGCAGCAGTCAAATTTTCATAGTGTAGGTGTAGCTTAAGAGTTTTTGATATTGAGTAAGACAGCAAAAAGTCAAGGTTAAAAAAGTATTTATTTGAAAAAAGAACTAGAAATGTACTTAATAGAAATAAATATAGCAAATTTTTTCAGATGAATTGTATTAAAACAGTCAGAACTGGCAAAAAATACTTGAGATAAGAGGTTAAATTAGAAAGTGATAAAGCATAATTTTTTGTATTCGTATTATATACAGGGTGTAACAGCAAGGTGTAGTCATATTTGAAGGTCGGATTCAGTTAATGGTATGAAACTATTTAGCAAAGTTGTTTTAGTACAAACTACGTTATTTATGGAAATTTCGCCATGAACAGTTTCGATCAGCTGATGTCATTTAACGAAAATAAATAGTCACATCACATCTCTATTGAGCAGGGATGTTACGAATATTCGCATCCGCATCCGTAAATGCGGATTATTCGCATTAATTCAGACATCTGCATCCGCATTTACATCCGCATCAATCAATGCGGAGTTTTTACGAATGCACACGAACAAGTTATAACATGTAAAGAAAGTGGGCGGAGCCAGAGTGGCACGTGCCTTGCGTTTGTTTTGACAATTGCTAACTTCATTCGGTAACTGACGAATAGGAAGGCGCAAATTGCTACAAGATTCGACAGGTTTTGTTTGTTGTGTTTTTTCTAGAGTCCGACCGAAACTTCCGTGCGACAGTTCGAAACTTCCGTCCGAAAGTTCGGTCGGACTTTATTTTTTTCTCATTGTCAATAAATTAAAGTGAGTGTTTACTGTGTAGAACTTAAAGAATATTTTGATATAAATATTAAAGTAAAATGGCGCCACCATTAAAAAGCAATATCTGGACTTATTTCACAATAGACAAAAATGATCCGGAAAAGTCGGAGTGTAAAATATGTAATAAAAGTTACTCGCGGAAGGGACGCACTACTACTTCATTGAAAAAATCATCTGAAATCAATACACCCGGAAGAGTTTTGTTTATTTCAAAGTGCGAATAAAGAAAAGGAATTGAAGAAAAAAAATGATGAAGCAGGTATGTACCGAAAATCACGGAATATAAGATGTTTTACAAACTTAGTGACGGTTAGATAAACTCATTTAATTTCTTTAATAATTTGCTGTTTTCAATTTAAATCATGATAATTATACTTGGTGCTATTTTATATTACTTACTTTATTATATTATACTGTGACTAAAATATATTGTTGTTATTTATTATACTATACACATGATTTTTATGTTACTTTTTATATTCAATTTAAAATAAAAAAATAGTTCTAGGTATTAGTGAAAATATTCACTTTTTAGGCTTTTTTAGCACTAACCAGAATCCAAAGTTAGTTTCAATTTTGTATGTATTTTTTACAGGTACAATTGTGACTCCGTTGCCGTTGCAACAAGCTAAGAAACAGCTTTCGTTAGAAGATGTACTACAAAAAGAAAAGAAGTGGGATACTAACAATCCTAATTCAAAAAAGCTTGACAAACTCATTGCCGAAATGATAGCGCTTCAAAATTTACCATTTAACTTTGTGGAGGGACTTGGATTTCGTCGTCTCATTCATGAGTTAGCACCGAAATATAATTTTAGAGGACGTAATTTTTTTACTGATTTCATATGCCATGAGCTATATATAAAACTCGCTGGAAAAGTTAAAGAACTAATTGAAGAATATCATTACATGTCCTTCACTTCTGATATTTGGACAGATCCCAGCTCAGGTGTTTCTTTACTTAGCCTAACTTGTCATGGAGTATCAGAAAACTTTGAACGATCGTCAATTGTGTTAAAATGCGAAACTTTTGATGACCGTCATACTGGTGATATCATTGCAGAAAAATTTAACACAATGCTTGCTGAATGGAATATTTCAAATGAAAAAGTGCATTGCATAATACGAGATGAAGGCTCTAACATGAAAAGAGGAATGCGATTAGCATTGCTAAATGATTTAGATTGTACTGTTCACAAGTTGCAAATTGTTATTCGGCATGGTTTACGATCGCAGGAAAGCATAGAAGACGTCAAACAAAAATGTAAGAAAATTAGTACTCATTTCAACCATTCAGTCATTGCTCAAAAGCAACTTGAAAAAATTCAGGACAGACTTAATCAACCGCATCTTAAAATATTCCAGGATTGTGTGACGCGCTGGAACAGCACGTTCTACATGTTTGAGCGTATTCTGAAGATAAAAGATGCATTAAGTCTTTATGCCAATGACAATAACATTGAATCCATTTTGCCTGAAGAGTGGAAAATAATAGAATGCTGTATTGAAGTACTGAAACCGTTTGAGGAAGCTACTCGTGAAATGAGTAGCTCTCAGGCATTCATATCATCTGTGATTCCTATGATACAAATGCTTTTGAAAAAACTTGACGACTATTTAACAAAACCACGAGAAAGTGATGCTATTCAGTTGGCAGTCTCTAACCTAAAATCACAATTTTCAGCGAAATTTTCTTCTTTGGAAGATAACAACTTTTATGCCATTTCCACATATTTAGATCCTCGTTACAAGCATAAATTTTTCAAACCAGTCACCGAAGAAAAAATAAAAGATGAAATAATAAAGATGATTAATGACCCTGCCGTTACTGATTCTCCTATGTCGCCAGCGAAAAAAACAAAAAGAATGAGAATGGAAGATTCTCTCGATCCTGAACCAGGAACGTCCAGCACGGGTCAGAAGACTTGCTTAAGAAGCGATCTTGCCATGATGTTAGATTCATCGAGCGAAGACGAAGGTGAAGGAGATCCGGACAACAGTAGCCCCGATATTCTTCTCCGCAAAGAATTAGTTATTTATCGTAACAAAAAAAGACTGGATTTAGAGGGAAATCCACTTAATTGGTGGAAAGTCAACGGTTGTGAATTTAAAATTCTCTCCAAATTAGCATGCAGATATTTATCACCTCCACCAGCCAGTGTTCCCAGCGAGCAACTATTTAGTGGAGCTGGATTAATATATAATCCACTAAGAAACAGGCTGGAAGCTGAAAAGGCTGCAATATTGCTATTTATTAAATATAATTCACCAATCTTTAACTTTAATTATTAAACAAAAAAATATGATTATGAAACTTCAAGGCTTGAAGTTTCATAATCATATTTTTTTGTTTAATAATTAAAGTTAAAGATTGGTGAATTATATTGTATAGTTGTTGTTGTTTGTTGCTTGAAGTTCAAGCTAAAGTTTTGTTTTGTCACAAGTTATTTTGTTCTAAAAATATGATTTAATAAATTAAAAGTTATAATTAAATTGATTTTCAATTAATTATGCCAAAAAATAAATATATAATTATCCTTTTAAAATCCCACAATCCGCATCTGCATCCGCATCAAATCCGCATCCGCATCAGATCCGCATCCGCGGATGTGAACTTCTAATAATCCGCATCCGCATCTGCATCCGCGGATGTCAAAATTTTTGCATCCGTAACATCCCTACTATTGAGTATCATAATACAACCAAATTACGTAACTTGAAAAAATTGTGAAATTCAGGCATGTTATTGTAAATGATAAAGTACTTAATGCCATATTCTTATTACTATGTTATAATTTACTAAATTTATTATTATTTTATTCATGTAATATGCGTGTGAACATTTAATGAAAAATAAATATTATCGATTACTTTGCCAAAATACACTAGTTCATAATAAAACTATTGTAACATGATGTCCCCGCTCACCCTCTACTCACGCGACGTCGGACC